ATGCTTAGAATTTATTTTACTCAGATATATGTACAGAAGTAGGTAACTAGGTTCTTAAGCTATCTTAGGAACTTAAGATAACTAGGTTCAAGGATGTTCTTTGCAGGATGTGCATAATAGCAAAATACTGAACCTAAAATGTTCATCACTATTTGGTTATTAATAATTGCATGTTCTTTTATGCCATTTAATGAAATAGACATATGGAAAAGATGTTAACATATATCTCTAAGCGTAAAAAAAGTCTGGAAGTTGCTTTCAGACGCAGGATCTGGGTGTGCTCTTTGTGAAATTCCACCATGGCGTACCGTGGCCAGGGCCAGAAAGTGCAGAAGGTAATGGTGCAACCCATCAACCTCATCTTCAGATACTTACAAAATAGATCGCGGATTCAGATGTGGCCCTATGAGCAAGTGAATAGGCGGATAGAAGGCTGTATTATTGGTGTTGACAAGTATATGAACCTTGTATTAGGTGATGCAGAAGAGATTCATTCTAAAACAAAGTCAAGAAAACAACTGGGTTGGATGATGCTAAAAGGAGATAATATTACTCTGCTACAAAGTGTCTCTCCAACTAGAAATGATCAATGAAGTGAGAAATTGTTGAGAAAGATACAGTTTGTTTTTAGATGTCCTTTGCCAATATGAACATTTATTCATATTGTTCTGATTACCCTTATGTTATTACAAGATGACAATAAATGTTATAGGACTGTTTGTATTTAAAAAAAAAGCCTACTATACAAGATATGCATAATAATCTATTCTGTTAAACATATATATGTATATGTGCAAATACATTTGTATATTAATATAAATGAGTCTAAAAGTGTATACTAAACATAATAATTTATCTTTGGTTGAATGGAATAATAGGGGATTCACTTCTCACTTCTTACATTTCTATGCTTTTGAGTTTCCTGAATAGATAATGGAATGGATTACATATATATATGTAATACACATATAATTTCTTTAGAGATGGGGTCTCACTATGTTGCCCAGGCTAGACTGCAAACATCTGGGCTTAAATAATCCTTCTTTCTCAGCCTCCCAAGTAGCTGGAACCATAAGCTGATGAAACTATGCCCAGCTATATATTGCTTATATAAAGAGAAAAGTATATTTACATTTACTTTTTAAAATGTGGCTCATGCCTATAATTCCAGGACTTTGGGAGGCTGAGGCGGGAGGATCACCTGAGGTCAGGAGTTTGAGATCAGCCTGGCCAACATGGTGAAACCCTGCCTCTACTAAAAATACAAAAATTAACTGGGAGTGGTGGCACATGCCTGTGGTCTCAGCTACTAGGGAGGCTGAGGCAGGAAAATTGCTGGAACTCAGAAGGTGGAGGTTGCACTGAGCCAAGGGCACACCATTGATATTAAGTCAGAGTGATAGGTTGAGTTTCTTTCAAAAAAAAAAAAAAAAAAAAAAAAGGATTCTGTCTTTCCCCTAGTCTTCTATTTTGTATTTTCCAAATTTCTATAATGCATCCAATAACGATGTAATGTTGGGGCACAGTAAATGGGTTTTAGTTTTATTTTGAGACAGGATCTCTATTGCTCAGGCTGATGTGCAATCACTGCTCACTGCAGCCTCAGCCTCCCAGGCTCAAGTGATCCTCCCTTCTCAGCCTCCAGAGTAGCTGGAACTACAGGCATAGACCATCATGCCTGGCTAATTTTTGTATTTTTTGTAGGGACAGAGTTTTGCCATGTTACCTAGGCTGGTCTCAAACTCCTGGGCCCAGGTGATCCTCCCACCTTAGCCTCTCTTATAATCCCACACTTGAGATTATAAATATGAGCCACTGCACCTGGCCAGTAAATAATTTTATCCAAATCTCGTTTTAAAAACGTAAGTTAGAGATCACAAATGAGAGGAGAAAGTTCATGTCACCAGCATCTTTAGTACTGTATACATGTAACAGTCTTTAATGCTTTTTTATTCACTTTTTCTTATT